GCGATAGAGACGATTGGAAACGAAGGGGAAGGAAATTTCAGGGTGTTACAGTTTAAATATTTGTAAACCTGTAATAGATAAGTTTAGAATTACGTTGCGGCGAATTTTCACAAAGGGTAAGAAAATAAATGCGGAATATGGAAAATATTGCGGAGACATTGGTTCTAAAGCTTTGGGACCGAGGTTCGATATGCCCATTCGATGGAATTCGACTTATTTTATGATTGAAATTTGATAAAACAAAAAAATTATATTTTTTCATTTTATAAACACTATTATAAGCAAAATTCTATTGGAAATCTTGATTGGGCCGTGGTTGAAGGATTGTACGATAGTTTAGGCAATTTTAAAAATGTGACAACATTTTTATTCGGTATTTATTATCCAACAAGCCCTTACTTTTAAATCAATTATATATTTTGGCAAGTAAGATTGCACAATATGAAGATCATCACGATTGAGGAAGTTGATGAGTTCAAAGAAAAAAGAAATTGTTAAAATATTTTATGAGCATCTCATTTGCTTTTCTTTGTACTGCGGCATTAAACCCGTATTTCAATGTTATAGGTGTTGAAGCTTTAATTACACAAATATGTGTGTCATTTGGTTTAAATACGGCTATGGATAATTATTTTTCAATGGAAAAAAAGGTTTGTTTAATCATAATTTTCAAAATTTATTTGATCATTATAAACATTTTTATGGGGGAGGAAATCAACAACAAAACTCTTCAAGTCGTGAATTTGCGGGTTCTAGTTCTTCTAGTGGTCATCGCCAAAGTCGGAAAGAGTTGATGACTAATTTAATGAACAAGGTTTTAAATGAATCAAGTAAAAAAGTAGATCTGATAACGATTTAGGTGAACTAAGTATGTACGTGCATATTAACTTTATGGCTGCCAGGGCCGGCCCTGGCCATAGGCCTAAGAAGCGACGGCCCAGCACAGCAAATAGTCCAAGGACATACATTTTATAAAGCCCAGTATATATATAGGTTCAATTTTGGGTAGGCCTAAAAAAATATTACAAGACAATCGCAATCGTTGCTTCTCTCTCTCTCGTCCTCGACTCTCGGCCTCGCACTCTCGTAGCCCTCGCTCACTCGCTTGACGCACAAACAGTACGAACAAGTGAACAATGATTTTGTTCTGTTGATCGACAATTCTGCAGTTCTGTTGATTGTCTTCCGTGTTCGCATATTCAAACAAACAATCGTCGGCCTTGCCCTTAAATAAGGTAAACTTTTTCTTTCATGCGTTTTGTGTGATTTGACTTATTAGTGATCTCTCAATTCGTTCTTGAAGTATCCAGTATAGTAGTACTAATAAGTAATAAACATTCAATTCTTGGTGGGTTTGATCTTTGATGGGGTCTCAATTGTAGTTTTCAAGAGTTGATCTTTATTATTGATTGTTAGGGTTTCATTTGACATTTGTTGATGGGTTTGATTTGGATTTTGAGGATTGGTCTAGATTATTGACAGTTGGGGTTTAATCTGTTTCTCTCGAATTTCATGCTTTTGTTCACAGTATTGTTGTGATCTCCAAATTCAACTAAATTTCCAGCTGGGTGTTTCTTGAAATGAGTCTGGTTAGTGGTTACTCACTTCTGTTTGCAGACATTGCTATGGCCCAAATGTTTTGCAATTTCTAAGTAAAATCCATGAAATGAGTCTGGTTAGTGGTTACTCACTTGTTAGGTTGCTAAGAGTGGAAATCCTTGGACATCCATACATATTATGGAGTTCGCAAATAAAATGGACATGTTTCCACATGTCTTGCTTGCTTATAGGATTCTATTGACCGTACCGATCACCGTAGCATCTATGAAAAGAAGCTTTTCGAAGTTAAAGTTGTTGAAGTCATATCTACGGTCTACCGTGAGTCAAAAAAGATTGAACGGGTTAGCAATCTTGAGTATTGAGAGTAAGTTTTTAGCTAATATTTTAGTTATGACGAAGTGATAGATATTTTTGTCTCAAAAACACAAGAAGGCATTGTTTTAGGTGAATGGTGATGTATTTTATATTTTGTTACACGGGGTTTTGGTTTATGTCCCCCCCCCCCCGGTTGCATCATTTTGTTATATTTAAAACAAATTGGCGTGGGGATAAGCCGCCTAGATTGACTTGGTTCCAAACCCCTTCAAATAGTTTATTTTGGTTTTATATACACATGATATAAGGGGATTTTTTTTGGCTTTCCACCATGGGCATCCAAAATCTCAGAACCGGCCCTGATGGCGGCATGCCCTGCAAATGATGTTGAAGGTTTTGAAAAAAATTGATCTATTAGATTTTTGGAAACAAAAGCAACCTAAATTCCCGGTTTTGGCATGCATGACATGTGATATACCAACAGTCCAAGCTAGTACTGTAGCTTCAGAGTCCGCCTTTTCTCTTAGTGGCAAGATCATTTCGATACGTCGGACAAGACTAAGCCCAAAGTCCGTGGAGTGTTGCATCTGTTTGAAGGATTACTTGGATAACATTGATATAATTCAACACACAACATTGTTAGAGGTGAAGATTGAAGCGGTGGAAGAACACTTGGAAGAAAATGAAATTGCCATGAGATTAAGCACGCCGCCAACTACCGATACCGACAACACTTACTCACAATATAACGACGATGAGGAACTCGACATCGATGACCTTGATGACCTTGATGACCAAGAGGCTATTAGAAGAATTCAAGAGACCAGAACTCTTCAAATCAATCCGACATGGTTAACCGATGATGAATAAGTGTATTTTCAAATAATTTTACAATGTATTTTTGGATGACAATGTAATTTTAATTATAATAAAACACATTTCTAAAGTGTATTTGAGTGACCCACTTATGTATTAAAAATTCTATCATTAAAAATATTTTCAAAAATAAATATTTTTTAATTGTTGGGACCGGGACCGGCTCATCATAACCAGTTATACATAACCTTAACCGGGCTCACCATTTTCAACCAGGACCTGTTATGGCCGGCACTATTGAGGCCCGAGACCGGTTTTTGACCATCACTACTATGAATTAACATAAACAATTAATGCCCATTTATAGAAATGACAAAACCCAAGAGATTTTGTAAACGTCAAGGATAAATTTAGAATAAATAAAGTAAAAGGACGAAAATTGTTAATAGAGAAAAGAAAATCAATAATTAGTCTAAAACATTAATCTACATTTATCCATCTTCCTCATACGCTTTGTTGGGTAAATAAACCTTTTGCCACGCCATTAAAGTTCTCATAGACATAAAGACGCACCAAAGGTGTTTACAACACAACATTTATTGAATGTTATAAAGAATAAATTCCATTACAATATAATTAATTTTTATATTACGTTACAATTTCGAACAATCGGCTTTTGGAAAACCAACCTTCAAAACCTCTCACTTTGAGCCTTAAACAGATAAAAGTTCAAGTCGAACAACCATAGTTTAAAAGTTACAATTTCTGTAAAGATTGTATTCCACTAAACGCTTAAGCCATACAGACCATTATGTACTCGATCTGCTTCCCAGATCATGCATCTGGAACAAGGCAATACGGGCGAGCCTACGGATTGCCGGTTTCGCACAAACTTTTCAACCAAAAATTTGAACTTTTCCGGCTCGATATTTTTAGAACGTACATAAATTAATAATTAATTTTTTTTTAATTGTCTAAAATAAGAATTGATGGTAGATTGGTTGGTAGAAAACAATAACATATGGTGTTATTTTAGTCCACTATGGCATGGCATGACACCCTTTTTATAATGGAAGTGATTTCCCCCAAAATCATAACCAGAAAGCATTAACTTTTATTGGATTTAATGGGAATACGGAGTAGATTTATTTCATGAATATCCCATCCATCCCATATCCATATCACCTCTCTTTGTACATATTTCTACATCATTCATTCATATAAAACTCGCTTTATTGATGAACAAACCCTAGATGTTTTATCCATCATTCAACGCCTCAAACCCACAAACGCCCTGATTTCAAATCCTCAATTTCTGCCTCAAGATCCACTTTACTTCCCAAACCCACTTCAGGTCAGTCTCACAATTCAATTTTTCTACTGGCTTTGATTTCAATTGATTCGGGTCAAAGACACTGTTAGCTGTTTATCTTGCTCGTCTTTATGATCTGGGATCTTGTTTGTTTTCCGTCATCAAAGATACTGGTTGTTTCATTTCTCGTATTACTTGGCTTGATATATCATGCGATCCGATTGTCATTCAAACTTATTCCTTCTGTTTCTTCTTAAGGTGAAATCGATTGTGTGTTTTCTCTTGCAGGTGTTCACTGGAATTGGTTTCTTTTCCACAAAATTCTTTTGGGTTATTTAGGGGCTTTTGAAAGATGCAATCAAGGTCGTATACCAATCTTTTAGAGTTGGCTTCAGGGAATTTCCCTGTCATGGGTCGAGAAAGGGAGAAACGGAGGCTGCCGAGGATAATGACTGTTCCCGGAAGCATCACCGAGCTTGATGATGAGCAAGCTAGTAGTGTTGCATCTGATAATCCTTCTTCCCTTTCTATGGATAGAATGATTATTGTGGCTAATCAATTACCATTAAAGGCCAAAAGAAGACCTGATAATAAAGGTTGGAGTTTCACTTGGGATGATGATTCTTTGCTTTTGCGACTCAAAGATGGTTTTCCAGATGATATGGAAGTTCTATATGTTGGTTCCTTGAGTGTTGACGTTGATCCTATTGAACAAGATGATGTTGCTCAAGTTTTGTTGGATCGATTCGGATGTGTCCCAACCTTCCTTCCACCTAATCTAATGGAAAAGTATTATGATGGTTTCTGCAAAAAGCAGTTGTGGCCTCTTTTCCATTACATGTTGCCGTTTTCTGCTGATCATGGAGGGAGGTTTGATCGATCCATGTGGGAAGCGTATGTTGCAGCAAATAAGTTATTTTCCCAGAAAGTTATTGAAGTGATTAATCCAGAGGATGATTTCGTTTGGATTCATGATTATCATTTAATGGTCTTGCCTACTTTCTTAAGAAGGCGTTTTAATCGGTTGAGAATGGGTTTTTTTCTTCACAGTCCATTCCCTTCTTCCGAGATTTACAGGACACTTCCTGTTAGAGAAGAAATCCTCAAAGCTTTACTCAACTCTGACCTAATTGGTTTCCACACATTTGATTATGCTCGACATTTCCTTTCTTGTTGCAGCCGGATGTTTGGTTTGGAGTATCAATCAAAGAGGGGATACATAGGGTTAGATTATTATGGACGAACGGTTGGGATTAAGATAATGCCCGTCGGAATACATATGGGACAAATTGAGTCGGTGATGAAACTTGCTGATAAGGAGTGGAGAGTTGAGGAGCTCAAACAGCAATTTGAAGGGAAGACTGTGCTGCTTGGAGTTGATGATATGGATGTTTTTAAAGGTATCAATTTGAAGCTTTTAGCAATGGAACAAATGCTCAAGCTGCATCCATCATGGCAAGGCAGGGCTGTTCTTGTGCAAATTGCAAATCCCGCAAGAGGTAAAGGTGGGATAGATTTGGATGAAATACAGGTCGAGATCCAGGAAAGCTGCAAGCGAATTAATGATGAATTTGGTAAGCCGGGGTATCAGCCAATTGTTTATATAGACACGCCTCTTGGAATTGGTGAAAGGGTTGCTTATTACAGCGTAGCAGAGTGTGTTGTTGTCACTGCTGTACGGGATGGGATGAACTTGACTCCTTACGAATATATCGTTTGCCGGCATGGAGTTTCAGGATCAGAAGCGAATTCAGATCTTGGTGGTCCTAAAAAGAGCATGTTGGTTGTATCAGAGTTCATTGGGTGTTCTCCTTCCCTGAGCGGCGCAATTCGTGTCAACCCATGGAATGTTGAAGCAACTGCTGAGGCTATGAACGAGGCTGTATCTATGAGTGATCCTGAAAAACAATTGCGGCATGAGAAGCATTACCGTTATGTTAGTACCCATGATGTGGCCTATTGGTCTAGAAGCTTCTTGCAAGATATGGAAAGAACTTGTGCTGATCATTTTAGGAAAAGATGTTGGGGAATTGGTTTGGGATTTGGGTTCAGAGTTGTGTCTCTAGACCCTAATTTCAGGAAGCTTTCGATAGACGACATTGTGTCAGCTTACATAAAGGCTAAAAACAGGGCAATACTGTTGGACTATGATGGGACAGTAATGCCTCAAAATTCGATCATTAAGACACCAAGTAGAGAAGTTATCTCAATCATCAACAGACTTTCTGGAGATGCAAAGAATACGGTATTTATTGTTAGTGGAAGAGGTAGAGAAAGCTTAAGCAGGGCATTTTCTCCTTGCAGGAAACTTGGAATTGCAGCTGAACATGGCTACTTCATGAGGTGTGTTTCCTTGTTTACTTTGCACTTGTGTTTATAGTCATCCTTTTTGCACTTTATTGCAATTCCATCGAATAAGAGAGTGGCTTGAGCAACAGTTTCCCACTGTCATGTTTTTGGTTGTTTTTATGTTATTGGTAAAGTTGGATACAACAAAGCAGAACGAAATAATGGCTTAAGGTGACAAAATTGGACGAAAGTAATTTTGGATAAAAGGAGTGTTCTTGTTGGCTATTTCCCAACTCTTCTCTGCTTGTTGATTTCATCAAGAAAGTAAGTAATTATGGGATTCTTAATAACTTAGGAAATGATTTTTTTGACACAACGTAAGAGACCATGATGACAAGCGTAATTGTGTTTGACTTCTAATTCCCTTTTTTTCATTACCGGCCAACATTTATTGCTTATGTTTGTGTTAATTTTTTCCTTTTATGGTATGAGTACAAGATGTATGGTATCAATATTCGTTATCTTGTCTTGGAGTTCACTGTTGGCTTCTATGGTGCAAGTGAAAGATGAATGTCCAGAAAAAAACTGTGATCATTTTAACATTATTTCCCTGTCACCTTCCAATTCTCTTCGCTCGTTCTTATTTCTCAAGCTATTACATTAATCTAAAGGTTATCCCTTACTACTATTCACAAAAAGCAACCACGTTTACTGACGTAAGCGTAAGTGTTTGATCAAAAAGAAAGAAAAGGGTAATCAGTAATTGATGAGTTTCCTGAAAGATGAACTTCTTTTAGAAACCGAGTGTCTGGCCAGCTTGTGTGCATCTCGACTGATCCCACGAGGCCCTGAAGTTAGATGCTAGAAAACCTCCAGCGGCCCTTATGGGACTCGAACCGGTGACCAATGGGGAGCAAGCTTGATCAGTTGAGATACCCCCAAGGGTTCTGAAAGATGGACTTGTTGCATCAAGATATGTACTTGCCCAAAGTTTTATTGCCAAGTGTGGCTAGGGCAAAGGCCAGATGAGGAGATTTCAACATGCGAGTTTTAGATGGGTGTTTGGATGGAGTAGTCGGTAGGCGTTGGATGCTGCTTAGGCACGTGTGGTTCAAATTTAGAGTATATTGCCCCCCCCCCCCAAAAAAAATTATTTTATCGGGTTGATATGATGCAAACCGTAACACTACAACGAGAGATGAGGCAACAAGAGAGGCGGAGACATTTGGATTCATGAGTCTTCTGCTATAGTTCTTTTCAAGCCAGAATTAAGCTTCGTCTTTGACTTCAATTATTCAACCACAAAGGATTTTAATTCTTTTTGTCTCTTCCTGTTTTTTCCCTTCCAAATGCTATGTTCTCCTTTTCTTTGTTTTGCCTTCACATATAAGATTGTTGTTTGAAATTTGTTATGATAGTATTTCTTGATGGTTCCATTTCTTTTTTTATGAATTATCTACTTGATTCACATTGAGTGCCGGAAGGATTTATACTTTTTGAGATACACATGCAAAATAGCATAAAGGAGTATGCTGCAATGTATCCGACCTGATGCTTGATTTGAGGAGGCATTAGGGTAATAGAGCAAGGGAGGAAGAACGGAAGTAGCTTCGTCACCAGTTCCTTAAAAGTAGACTTTTTCCAAATTGGTGGATTTCTAGGCCTTCTTGTAAACCTAATTGGGCACTTCCAATTATGTAAGTCAATAGGTCAAACCATGCTCAAAGGTAGGGCATTTCTCATATTTATAGAAATATCTGTACCATAAATAATTTTATATCCAATTATTGCTCTTGTTAAGAAAAATGCTAAAAATATACGTTACCAATGGGAGCAAACCCAAGACCTAACGAGTTGAGCTACTCCCAGGGGTTTCCTCACAAAGGACATAACTCATAGAACTAGCAGCAATAGAACAAGGGTTGCAAAACCGGTAGTTGCCAAATTTTATTTTTCAATTAAGAATCTATTTGATTGCATAGTACATTTGGTATTGCGTAATGTACAACAATGCCACTACCACGCCCACGTATGTTTCACTTAAAAAACAAGCCGTTGGGGATGGGAGCTAATACTGCTGCATGCATTCATTGCATAAGCAGCCCAGCAAGAGCAACATTTTTTTAAGCCCATGACATATGGTTGATAAAATTGGTGACAGTATATGGATTAAGTTGGTGATCAAAAACTACAAATTGGTGCTAAGAAATAAACCTACAAAATGAAAAACCGATAAAGCTGCATTATTTTTGTCTAATGCTTATGCATGATGCATAATCTAGTGCATACATCCCCTTTCTTTAAAGTTTTAGTTTCAAAATACTTTAGTTCTTAAGTTTGGCAAAGCAAACCTCTATCTTGCAAGGAAGGTACTTGTGTGGAAGTTTCTGGTCTTTTTGTAACAAATGAAAATCTCGACCTATATGTGGAATGGGGTAAGGTTTGGTGGTCTTTGCCATCATCCATTTGAATTTCAAAATCTTCAGAATTTCTTCAACTTTCAAATTAAATACAAATCTATATGGACATTGTAGCTTTTTGGGAGTTGAGACTTCCCCAGCAACGAGTTAATTTATTTTGATTTTTGTGCCTCATCTTTTAGAGAATATAAAATGCACATACTTCTGCAAATGTTTTACTTCCGACACATGAGACTCTTCATACCAGTTGTTCCGAATCTTTCCAGGTTTCTTAAGCCAATAGTTTCTCGATACTACAACAAGAAGAAAGGAAATGCCAACAAAATAATATTAGTTTCCTTCTTCTTTCTCGTGATGTATATATGACATTCTGTAATGGCTTTCGAATATAAATCAAGCTTTTGTTTTCTTTATGACAGTGATCAATATTTTAGTAAAGTAAAGATCCTGGCTTTTCAATCTTTCTAAATCCTAACTACTATTTGATGAGAATTGTGTTGCGGGGAGTTAATCTTTTACAAGAATTAGCCTGGGAACAGACAGTGGGTTGTGTTAATTTAAAGAGCAAGTATGATTTTACATATTAGTGTTTTCGATGACTTGACCTCTGATAGGAATTTTTTGGAGACATGGGATTAGGATAGCAAAATAGGGGTGGGGATCTGTAGATAGCATAGATGGGAGGAAGGGAGCTAGAGAGGTAGAGGGTGGGGGATATGGTTAGTGAGTCGTTGGTTAGGTTAGAATAAGGGTGTGCAGTTTCTTTACCTTGCTTATGTTTTTTCTGAACCTATGTATACTTGTATGTTATTCCTTACTTGTAACTAGCTTTTCAAATTTATCTTATATGCAATTCTCTCTTTCGCATATTTTTCACAAGCCAGGGGTCTTCATGGAAACAGCCCGCTCTACTCTCGAGGTAGAGATTGGATTTGCATACATCTTACCCCTCTTAGACCCCACCTCCGGGTGGGATATACTGGGCTTGTTTGATTTGGTTCCTTCTAAGAATCATAAGAGCAATTCTCTTCCCCAAATTGATCAAGTGCTATACGACCATAATTTTATTCATGCTGCTACATAGGTAAGCATGTAGAAGTGGAATGCAATGTCCTACTATGATTTCCGCTCTTTATTAGAGACCAAGAACATATTTGTTCAATATTAGACGTAAATAAAACTTCACTGGTGGGGTTCATTGCAAGTAATTTGGCAGGATTTAGAAACTACATTGATTTATTTCTTTAAGCAAATACTATCACACGTACTTAAAAGATCATATTGCGTTTTTAATTAACTTAATATGCTTTCTTGTACTGCTACAATCTGATAAAGTCAAGAGTGTTCAACCATCTTTTCTTTATTTATTTTTAGATTGTTTGTAGGAGAACCTGTTAGTAGAATAAAGTTCATAGGGTTCTAGGGGGTAACTCAATTGGCACGCTTCTGTATTTCTTAGCCATATTATCTTCTTTATTTAATATTTAGATTAAACTGTACACAGCTCTGAAGGGCAAATTGCATGAAAATGCAATGTACTTTGGTCCGATTCTTATCTTGTGTAATGTACTTTGGAAACCTTCACTTTGGCACCTCATTTGTAATATCTCAAACATTTAGATTAAAGTATGTTCCATAAAATAGGAATCAGACTAAAGTACGCTGCATTTTCATGCATTCTCAGATGTAAACTATGTACCTAAATGTTTGAGATGTCACATCTGAGGTACCAAAATGAAGGTTCTAAAAATACTTTACACAGAATAGGAATCATACCAATTTACGTTGCATTTTCATGCAATTTTCCCCAGATTTCAATGTCCATTCCATTGTTAGTTTTATTCATTTACTGCATGCCATGAGTCATGACAAATGTGTGTTTTTCAGGTGGTCTCAAGACGCTGCATGGGAAACCTGTGGTCAGAGTACTGATTTTGGATGGATGCAAATGGCTGAGCCTGTGATGAAACTGTATACAGAGTCGACTGATGGTTCTTCTATCGAAACCAAAGAAAGTGCATTAGTATGGCAGTATCGAGATGCAGATCCAGGCTTTGGATTCGCTCAGGCTAAGGAAATGTTAGATCATCTCGAGAGCGTCTTAGCAAATGAACCTGTCGCTGTCAAGAGTGGTCAATATATCGTTGAAGTCAAGCCTCAGGTATGTCCTTCCTTGTCTTCAACTCGAATGTCATATTTTTCCTTTTCTTAGTCGGCATTTTTCTAAAAATCAAATCATATGATAAATCCAAACCAAACAAGCTCAATATATCCCACCCGAACGTGGGGTCTGGCAAGGGTGGGACGTACCACGCGGACCTGACCTTTACCTTAAAGTTTGCACCCAAAGAAATGAAACAAGAAAATACCAGGAGGTCCCAGGTTCAAATCCAAGGAGGAATAAAAATCCTTTTGTGGCCACGGAGGTTCAAATGCGGTGACTCCGGGCTATCTGCAAAGCAGATGGTCGCCTTGGGATTAGTCGGCTCGCATAGCGGATTGGATATCCAGGTTAATCAAAAAAAAAATTAAGGATTTTTTTTCTATCGTTGCTTTTTATTTTTGTGTTCAATATCTTATGGAGATGAGTTTATCTTTGCCGGTATTTGACAAAAACTCATAAAAACAACTTATTAAGCATCCGAAACGATTTATTAATGTGAATATCTTAAAATTCAAGGGTTACAAGTTATTATAGTAATATAGTCTATATACAACTTCTCAAAATTCCATCAAATTAATTGATAATCAACTGATAAACTCCATAGATTCACCTTATTTCCTAAAAAATCTAAATTATCTTAAATATAATTAATTTATAATCAAACATATTATATAGAAAGCAGATATTTTATTCTCTAAAAATTAATTCCCTTATCCATTTTTTCAAATATTTAACTGGGTTTTTAAAATTTTAATCATGGTAATTCACATCTGAGTATATTTATACTAATTATCTTTACTGTAATATAAAACATTTACTTCATGTTCATAAAATCTCTTAAAATTTAAGTTTACAACTTATTACAACATAAATACAACTTTTTAAAAGGTCCACATTCTCCATAAAATTTACTGCAAGCCGATCGATAAGCACTGACCCTACTAATACGACAGCATAGTCCATAAAACAGATAACCAACCTGAGACTCGCATTCTCTCAAAACCACACAAACCATAAAATAAATCGAGAGGGACAGATAAGAGAACAAAACATGAATCAAGATTGAGGGTTCAAGTTCTCAACGTAAGAATCGAGATGTATTGCATTGCATGCATACACTTCTAGTAATTGTATATGATTATATATAATTAAATCAAGGGGCTAGTTTTGTGCTATTGATAAGGTTATTCCTTGTGGTTAGGAAGTCATGAATTTGAGTCATAAGAGCGACTTTTTTACCTGTCATGGTTCTTTCCTTTTTGATCGCACTTTTGCACGAAAGAGCTGCTATAGCCTTCGGGGTAGAGGACAGGCCGACGTACATCTTACACCCCCATACTCTACTCAAGGGGTACTAAACAGGCATGGACCCAGAATTTTTTTCAAATGGTGGCACCATTTGACTATAAGAAAAAATATAGGGAATTTTTTTCAAACGGTGGCACCATTTGACTAAGAAAATGACACTAACAGAATCCGAACTTGGATCTGGGGTGGAATAAAAGCCTTACAAACCAACTCTACCAAATAAAACTTGTTCCCATTGTAGTTTTAAAATACATATGGTGGCACACAACAAATAGTCAAATACGGTTGCACCTTTCACAAACCTAAATTTTTTTACCCATTGACGGACGAATAAAACGGTGGCACGTGCCACTGTAACCACTATACTAGGTCCGTCCCTGCTACTAAGGACTGAGTGGGGTCCATGCACCCGCTCACTTGATTATTGCAAAGCAAAAAAGAATTAGATGTCTTGAAGGTGCACCTCCTTATAAGAGGGATCTTGGGTTCAATCCTAACCTGCGACAAATATTTAGTTTTTTGGTTCAAAACTGAAACCAATAACTTCTATTCTTACTCTAATCACTTTCATAAACCCCTAAATCAAATTTATTAACACGTTGAATACTCTATTAATACCAACTTTCTAATCACTTTGCGGGCCATTGAACCACCTTAAAGGTGCATCGGCTAAAGAAAGTTCTTGGGTCTACCACTAACTCTACTTTCGAGTGGGATATATTGGATTCATTTGGTTTGGCTTCAAAGTGACATTTTCTTTTGTGGAATGAAGGTTTGTAACTTGTTTATTTATTTATTTTTATTCTGTTGTATGTTTCCAGGAAGCCAGTAAAGGTCTGGTAGCAGAGAAGATCTTCACATCAATGGCTGAAAAAGGGAAACAAGCCGATTTCGTTCTTTGCATTGGTGACGACAGATCTGATGAAGATATGTTTGAAATCATCGGAAATGCACTCTCAAGAAACATGCTTTCCGTGAATACCACCGTGTTTGCCTGCACGGTTGGACAGAAGCCTAGCAAAGCCAAATACTACCTGGATGACACCAGTGAAGTTATTCTAATGCTTGAAAATCTTGCCGAAGCCACCGACACTCCGGTCACATCCGACGATGAAAACGACGGTTCCCCTTAAAAACTTGTTATCTCATAAATGTCCTCTTTTTATTGATGAAAAATTCAATGTTGCTGGTAAAAGTACATTATTCTTACTTAGGTCAGTAGAGTTTTAGGGTTTAAGGGCAAGGCTTGGTGTATTTAGTAAGGTTGTTGACTTTTTGACCAGAAGGTCATAGGTTTGAGTCAACTGAGATTCCTTGGTGCACCTAGGTTACCCATTTTTTAAGCTTCTTTTTCTTTTGGTGTTCATTCTTCCAATCTTTATAAAGATGGAAATATTAGTCTTGTTTGTTTTTGAACAAATGTTATAGCAATTTGAAGTTGGTTGCAAAAACAGAGGAAAATGTGCAGATTTGTCGCTTTATCTATTCGGAACTTTCGTAGTTTACAGATCCTACATCTGTGTGGGATATACTAAAACTTTAGTAGTCTACTAATCATACGTCTGTGTGGGATATACGGGGTTCGTTTTTCTTGTGTTTGTCGTATCTGTAAATTCATTCGTTGCGGGATGGGGAGGGGTTAGTTTTATAGATTGCTGAGTCTCTTATGGATCTTTCATTTTCTAAGATCCAATTGTATACTAGGCATTGTAATGGGTTATTTGTCCTTAAGTTTGAGGCACCCCCACCCACAACCTAGTATTTTGAAGGAGTAAGAGGTTGTTTGATAGTTGCTAAATGGTTTGGTGCAGAATGATTAAATGGTCAGAATGATTAAGAGACTCTCATGATATAGTGCAAAATGAAATATAATTGTTTGGTAATTGTGTATAATGAAATTAGGGTTCTTAATGGTTAAGGGAGACATATGATACAAAATCATCCGGAGGGTTTTAGAACCATTAAAAGACAATTTTTTTTTTTTGCCTAACAAAATTCACCTCTTAACAATTGAAAGGTTGCCTCTTAATGGAACTATTAAAATGTATATAGATTTTACCTTTTTTTAGAAAATATCTGACTAAAAAGATGAAGTAAACATATTTAGAAAGCACAAGTATATGTTGCATATATGCAAAAAAAGACGGGAGTTATAAATAATGCAAATATCCTTCCTAAATGACGAGACTTTCTATTTTAATAAAAGAAACCGGCAACCTATCTGAAGACCCTCTACCCTCTCGTCATCTGTCGTACTTGCAATTCCTTCTTTTGAAGATGGGGATGGGGTTGTTCTCGCTATTGAAATTGCACCAAATATTTTCAACCAAAACCTCCCTCCATTGCTATAACCTAAGGTGGGTGTTGTTTACCAATCAGTAATCAGGTAACCGCTTGCTACCTCATTGGCTAAGTATGGCAAAGATCGAGAATCTTACCCGGTGAGGACATGACTCTTACCTAGTTAGCATCTACCATCTAAGAGACGCCAACCAACAATTTTACTAATGCCATTTTGATGGCCTAGAATCTTACCTGATAAGGTAAGTACATGTGGTGATGGCCTAGAATCTTACCTGATAAGGTAAGTACATGTGGTGATGGCCTAGAATCTTACCTAATAAGGTAAGTGATGTGGTGACTCCTAATAATAGTCCCTAACATTCACCTCTCTCTTCGTCTCCGTCCGCTATTAGAGCAGTTAATCCCGTCAACAAATAATATATGCTAAGGTGCACTCTCCTAGATTGCTTTACACATTTCTTCCAAAACCACTGCAAATTTTTTTTTTAGCTTAGGGGCCGTTTACCTAAATGCTTACCCGGTAAACACTTACTGTTATGAGTCAATACTATAATTTATTTTACCGGGTAAGATTGTACTACATCAAAATAGTATCATATGCAACAATTTACCCGCTAAGCACTTACCCGGGTAAAAGTCATCACCCTCACTTACTGAGCAAGACTCTCTATCTTCGTCATTACTCTTATCGGGCCAGATTTATGACCCTTGCCATGTTCATCCGATAAGAAAAATTACCCGATAAACACTTTCCAGGTAAGCGTTTAATAAACGACCCCTTAGTAAATAGTCCTGTCTCTATAGGAAATACTATTTTTGTTCGAAAATTGTGTGACCATAACACATAACGAAATTTTATGCTAAATATATTTTAACGAGTTAAAAAGATTAAAAAATGTAGTATTTTTTGAATTTGGAGAAATCTCCCCTCTCCAATAAGGTTAGATGTATTATAACCTTTTATGAAGTTTTTTTTTTTTTTTTTGAGATTGTATTAAATTTATAAAATATTTTAATAATATAATTAATGTTACAATAATGTAAAATATAATACTTGTTAAAGTTGGATTTAACTTTTTTTTTTAAGATTTTGATTTTAGATAAATCTATTTTAATAAAATTATAGGATACCAGAGGGAGTGTATTTTATGTATGCAAATGAGTTTTAACAAATCAACAAGGTAAAACCCAATCACAATATGATCCAACCACTTAAGACTCACCTTCATATGTCACCAATTGGGTCACTGACATTTTTTTTATTAAACTGTATATAGCGAGCCGACTAATCCCAGGACGACCACCTGCTTTACAGGTAGCCCGGAGTCACCACTTTTAAACCTCCGTGGCCACAAGGAGATTTTTATTCCTCCTTGGATTTGAATTTGAGACCTCCAAGCACTTTGACCTTTGGAGCCCAAGCTCAAACCAATCAAACACCACCTTTGTGGTTGGTCACTGGGATTTTTCTGTCTGTTATCTTGAGATTCATGATTTTAGTCGATATACACGTCCAAACGGACTCAAAAACTCGTGGTTAAAAAAAAAAGAAAAAAGAAAAAAAAGAGAATCACCCTCCCCAAGTAAACAAGACCATATACATTAGGCAGAAGCAGTAGCCATCTTTTCTATGTATCAAATACTTCTAGTTGAAATATTACACTTTACCACCAAATACCCAAAAAAGAACCATGATCAAGAATTTATAATACATACCACAGTGGATTTAATGTTAACTATACACTTACTGGGCTTGGGGCAGCAGGAACAACCCGATTTTCGACAGGAATTTCGGTAAATTCAGATAAGATTGCTCGAAACTCATCACCGCTCATTGTTTCTTTCTCGAGAAGGACCTCCACGATCTTGTCCATGGCTTCACGATTGCTTCGGATTTGACTCAATGCAATCTCATATGCACTGTCTGAAAGCTTCTTGATGGCAGTATCAATGTCTTCGGCTAGCTTTTCAGACATCGAGTTTCTTGCCATCATTCTCATAATAACATCTTGACTTTGACCAGATCCATCCATAAGTGACCATGGGCCGATTTCCGACATGCCAAATGTAACCACCATCTGCATAGAAATAAATTAACCCGGAGATTACCTTCCATTTGGGCACAAACAAATACATCAATTGATCGGGCCTTAGGCTGCGTCTGGTATGCCGGATAGGATGAGATAGTATAAAAACTTCTTTTCTCATGTTTGGCACGATATTATATTGGGACCTGAATGGTACAAAAATGCATTTTTTCTATCCCACCCAAATAGGTGAAACAAAAATCAAGATATGGAACATGATTGATAAGTTACTAATCTACTCATATCAAATTAAAATCCTAAAAAAACTTCGAGAATTTTTTCACCCAATTACCTCACTCTCACCCATCCAGTCCCGTCCCATCCCATCCTGAACAGTCCTGTCTGTGTACAAAACATACACACCCTACTAGATAATTCCGAGCCACAACAAGACCTACTTGAATACGTGTCCTACAGTCTACCACCAGCAACAACTATTAGTCATCGATCAATCTGGGCTTGCTACTCTACAGCAGTATTACGAGATTTGCATCTAGTGCGTTTGTAAGGTATGAGTAAGGTTGTTTGGCGGATGCTGAATGATTAAGTGGCTCTGTATGAACTAGAGCAGAATGAAAATGGTTGTTTGGTAAGTGTTCTGAATGACATAAAAGTACCATTTAACCCTTTAGTCCACAAAATTACCCCTTCTTCGTCATCAGTGAAGAGTATCGTGGACATTTTAACAAGAGAACACTTTTAATGAACTACAAACCAAACGAAACAAGACCAATATATCCCACCCAAAGGCAGGGTCTTTGGGGCTGGTGATGAGATGTAAGCAGGCTGGACCTCCACCCCAAAGAGCAGAACGGTTTTGTCCGTGAAGACCCCTGGCTACTTTCATTAAACTACGTCCTAGTCATGTTTTGATGCCTTTCTTAAGCCTTCTATATCTTTACTTCTAGTTGGGTAGAATTGATATCAGCTAAATTTAGAAGGGTTGATAAGTTGGTTGAGTCCACATCCATAAAATGGTCGGTGGTTTAGTCCCTGCATTGCAGGTTAAAAAAAAAAACTAAACTGACCCAGTAAATTCCATTCGAAAGTAATAAGGTCTTTTGTTGTTTGATGTACACAAACCTGACCTTTACATTTGTTGCAGGTTGTACTAGTTAAATTGCCAAGACTCATTCACTAGAAAGTTTTTATCCTTTCTTCAAAATATTATGATGTGCAAAGCATATAGATGGAAGGCAAGATTCCTATGTTACACACGAGTTGGTGAAAAGAAGTTTGGTGATTTACCTGCTTGGCCAGGCCTGTGATCTGCTGTAGATCACCAGCTGCACCAGTAGTTACCTCAGGCTCACCAAAGATCACTTCTTCAGCAGCTCTTCCACCAAGTCCACCAACAATTCTTGCAAATAGTTGCTGCCTGGAGATCAACGTAGGGTCGTCTGCAGGAATGAACCAGGTCAACCCTCTTGCTTGACCACGTGGGACTAGGGTCACCTTTTGGACAGCATCATGCCCTGGCGTTAGAGTTCTGCATCAGAGACAACACACCACATTTGATTTCAATTTGACATTGGGTAACTTAGTAATTTACCAATCTTGTTTGATTTCCGTAATTTTTGTTTCACTTAATATGGAAAATACCACATAGTTGATACGGTAGTCAGGAACTGGCAAAGCACAAGAATGTGGAACATTTAACTTGTAAATCAAGAACTTCTTGAACTAATAAGAATCTATACGTACCCGCAAATGGCATGGCCCACCTCATGGTATGCTACAAGACTTTTGCTTTTCCCATCTGTCATAACTGTTCCTTCCATTCCGGCCACGATTCTGTCAATGGAATCATCAATTTCTTTGGGTGATATTGCAGTCCTTGCACGGCGACCAGCCAATATAGCTGCTTCATTTAAAAGATTTGCAAGATCCGCTCCACTAAATCCAGGTGTTCTCATGGCAATCACCTCAAGAGACACATCTTTTTCAAACTTCTTATTGCCGGCATGAACCTTCAAGATCTCTGTCCTTCCTCGAACATCTGGAACATCAACGGATACCTGAAACCATTTTTCTAAAGTTCAATAACTTCCATATGAGACAAAAATACAGTTCTTATTTGTAACCGTGGGTGTCCGGGCCAGCTTACGAGCACCTCAACTAATCCCATGGGGCCCTGAAGTTCTGGTGACCCTGAGGGGACTTGAATTGGTGACCTTTGGGGAACAAACCCAAGATCCTACCAGTTGAACTACCCCTCAGGGTTCAACAAAAAATATAGTTTTTTTGTAACCGTGGGTGTCAATGGAAACTTGTTGCCTAATCCCATGGGGTCCTGAAGTTAACCATTAGGCAAACTCTCCAGTGGCACTGAGGGGACTTCAACCAGTAAACCTCTGGAGAGCAACCAAAGATCTTACCAGTTGAACTACCCCTCACGGTTCAGCAAAAATCAGTTTATAATAATGTAATGTACCTGTCTATCGAATCGCCCTGGTCTCAATAAAGCAGAGTCCAGAATGTCTGCACGGTTGGTAGCTGCAACTACAATAATACCAGTGTTTCCTTCAAAGCCATCCATTTCTGTCAAAAGCTGGTTCAGGGTTTGTTCTCTTTCATCATTCCCCCCTCCAATACCAGTCCCTCTTTGCCGCCCAACAGCATCAATTTCATCAACAAATACAATACAAGGGGCATTCTCCTTGGCCTTTTTGAAAAGATCTCGAACTCTTGAGGCACCAACACCAACAAACATCTCAACAAACTCTGAACCTGAAATAGAGAAAAATGGAACACCTGCTTCACCAGCAATGGCCTTAGCTAGTAGTGTTTTTCCGGTTCCTGGAGGACCAACAAGAAGAACACCCTTTGGAATCCGAGCACCAACAGCAGTGAACCTCTCTGGCTTCTTCAGAAACTCCACGACCTCCATGAAATCCTGCTTTGCTTCGTCTACACCAGCAACATCATCAAAGGTCACACCAGTGTTTGGTTCCATTTGAAATTTCGCTTTCGATTGACCAAAGGCAAGGGGATTCCCGGGCCCACCAGGACCTCCCATTCCACCATTGGAACGCCTTGATAAAAGAAATAGACCCCCAATCAATATCATAGGGAATGCCAGATTCCCAATTAAATTGAACAGAAAAGAACCCGAATCCTCTTGAGCATTGTGTGCTGCAAAGTCGATATTCTTCTCCCTAAACTTCTGAAGAAGTTCCTGGCTGAGACCTGGGAGTTGCACTCGAACTCTCTGCACTCTATTACCCAACTCAGGAGAAACAGCCTCTACAATTGCTATGGTTCCATTTTCAAATAAATCGACTTTGTTAACCCTGTCCTTGTCTAAGTACTCCAAAAATCTAGAATAAGACATTCTTGAGTTAGAAACTCCTTGTTCATCCGCATAAGCTTTCCCACTGCCTAGCAAAGCAGGTGCTGCAAGTCCCGCATTTCCAAGCAACAACTTCAAGAACCCTCTTCTTCCTTCATGCTGCTTCTTGTCAAGAGATGCTGTTACAACTCCTAATTTTGGAACCTTATGAAGAGATGGAAGGCTAGGGGAAAGGTAAAATTGCTTGCCATGAAGTTCCTTGCATATGTCCCTTTTAGCGGATAGACCATTTCCAACAATACATGCGGACGATGCAGCCATTGTAGAGAACTCCTGAAACAAATATTTTACCATGAAAATATGTCAGAGAAATTATAAACTAGAATGTAACAAACTCTACATTTGAAAGTGCACAACAACTTGCAGCATTTTAGTCAATCATGAAGGATATTAACAAAATAAGCCTCACTTGTCCAAAGATTAGTTACTCACTCTAATACATGTGTTCTCATGCTAAATGTCAAAAAAGATGAAAAGTAAAAATTCAAATGAGCATCCAGAGAACACAAGTGATTGCAAGAATGGTTGCAACAAATATCATAATCAAAGCATGATGATCAGCATGGTATATTACTCTAATGTATGCACCATTACCCTAAATGTCAAAGATGAAAAGCCCAATTTAACAAAGCATCTGAAAACCATAAGCTATTGCAAGTTTGCGAAGGACTTCTTGACTTATATCTCATTACCCCCCCACCCCACCCATTTAATATTTTTTACATTCTTTGATGTCCATTACAAGAGGGCCAGGAAAATAAGATGTAATCATGTAAATGTTAAGGTAGATGGCTAGATGCCTACACAGACCCAGAACTTATTGGAAAATTACATTAAACCTAACCTTTAATCTGTGCTGAATAGAACCTTGTATCTCATTCAAGTAAAATGCCTGTCACCCTTTACAGATAGAGTCAAGAGCTAATGGAATTGGGGATATTTAATGCACATGACCTTGGTATTGTGATTGACTACTACCTTTCTCCCACCTAATAGGTATCTTCTAGCTGCTATAGCTAACGATTTTGTGTTCATCTCATGTCTCTCCAAATCATTTTCGCAACGGGGGTTTTCACAGGAACAAGCTCTCCAACCCTTGGGGGTAGAAGAATTGTATGCATACATCCTACCCCCATACCCTATTTGAGTGGGATACCCTATTTGAGTGGGATACACGGGGTTCGTTTAATTTGGTTTAGTAATACATATATTAGGCCAACATGCTCCTGTAATCCTGTTTGTAGTAGTTAGCAGAGTGTTAGGTATTTATTGATTTTCTTCTCAAAACTTTTGAAGGTTGGTCATGGTGACCTTGAAAGAAAGAATTACTAATATAGTGAGACCAATGAAAGAGCTATTTTCCTTCCACCCCATTGCATTTAACTAAATACGGACCATTAATCAAATATCTACTATACCCTCCAATCATGTCTACTACCCCATCCAATATTTGATAAAATAAGGGAATCATGTTAGCAAAAACTAGCATCAATAATTTGCAACAAAACAGCAATAGAGATTAGGGTAACAATAGCTAGGCAATTTTCCAAAAAAATGGATCTCTGCAATTTTCATTGAACATCCAAAAACGAAAATCGCTGCTATTTTCTTGTGACTTGGGAAGTATATCAACACTGAGGAGATTCTTTAGGGTTGAATAAGCAAAGCCAAGCTATGAAACACCAAAAAGAACAGAAAAAAGCGCATGCCCAATATGTGCAACATACATGGTAATCACAAAAGAAGAATGATGCCTAAATCGAGTAAGATTAAACTGAAAAAGGAAGAGAGTATCAACAGAGAGTAGTACCTTGTTCTCAGAGGAAAACGGAAGATGATTTGGGAGAGAAGATGAAGGAGATCGAGTGGTATAAGAGGATAGGAATGTGGTTTGGAATGATATACGTGTTCTTCTACGGATGTTTAAATTTATCTTCGAAATTGTCCCTTTTTTTGCTTTCAATTATCTCACGCCTCTCGTCTTTCTTCTATTTCGGAAATAATGGTTTCTATTCACAATCATGACACTTACGAAGGGGTAAATAATTTATTAACTTATTTCAGTGTGGTATCGGTAATAAACATTTTTGAGTGTTTGGATAAACAACTTATATCGATGTCAAACCGGTAATAAGAAGTTTTTTAAAAAGTTAAACATTTATTACTTGTAATAAGCTGATAAATGTTTTGGTAGAAAAACATAAGTTGTTTCAAATAAGCAATCTCAAAAACCCCCTTAATAAAAATCTTAAATATTTTATAGATGGATAATTAATATAAACTTATAAACCAGTTTTTATATGTTATTTATGTGAAAATGCAACTCTTTTAAAAATATGAAAATTAGTTTGTAAACTTGTATTAATTTTTGGGTTTGTAAAAGAAATGGACCCTGTTATGATAAACATGGGATCACATGAACTCTTTTACCATGAAAACCTCTTGTTTCTGTTGAATGACTTTGACTATTTGATCTGACACCTCATAACAACACAGACGTAGAATAACATGGTGGAACTTCAATGCCATTTATGTAGGTGGATGCAAAGCTTAACATACCTCAAACACCTATGTTTTTTGAATCCAATCGTAGATGTTATGCCAGTAATACCCCTGTTCTTTTTTCTTGCTTAGAGTCGGACTAAGAGGTCAATGTTACTGTTTTAGGTGAGAAGTCTTGATGTTCTCACTATAATTTCTAGTAAGTGGTCACTAGGTCATGGTTTAAGATATTGTGGTGGTACCCTATTGGGTTGTATACGAAGCTAGTAGCCTACAATGGTACTATATTGATTCACATATGGGGTTAGATCTTGCAGTGGTGCTCATGGGAGTCGTATACGGAGAGCGATGACTTTTGTGGTGAATTCATCTAGAGAACGAGTAGAAATCTTGGTTGCCCTCAGGGCTTGTAGTGGTATTCATTAGAGTAGTATACAGAACTTGGGTCTTGCGGTGGTACTTGGTAGAATCGTATACGAAGCCCAACAACCTTGAGAGAAACTCGGTAACGTTGTTGAATGACTTACTTTGTGTTTCACTACGATCAATGGAAACAGGTCTCCCCCGTTACCGAAATATGTTGTTTTGGGTATTGAGATTTATCCATGTTTTTAATGACATTTTTGAGTATGGAGTATTTTCCATAATTTGTGATTTTGGGTATTGATTTATACCCATATTTTGGCATTTTGAATAATAGAGATTTATCTATATTTTTGTAATTGAATATTTAAATTTTATTCGTATTCCGTGTGAGTATTCGATTTTGGTTTCATGTTAAAAGGGGTGTTTTGATTAATAAGTTTTCATCACGAAAATGGTGGGTTTTGAGAAAGAGGTTGCTTTTGTACTATATACATTTCATTTTGGGAATTTTGATTTAAATAAAATCTTTTCAGTTTTAACGTCTTATATTAAAGATAAAAACTGTTTGAACTCACTAGACGTTAAGTCTAAACTTTTTTATTTGTTGGCATGTGCATCAGGTCCTCGTCAGAAAATGATACTACTAGCAACACTATGAAGAGTTGAGTACTAGTTAGAAGCACAAAAAAAAGTTAGCTATTCGAGGACGTCTTCCGTATATTGGAGATAGTGACTATAGTTTCATCTCAGTAACATTCGTCCCTAATATAGACCTTGTGTAAGGTTTGGATTATTATTCCTCATTTAACATTTTTTTTTTTTAAATTAGTCGTTTTTTCCAAATTTGAAGGTGTTACATAATTAAAGAGGTGTGTTTTCAATGTGATTATGTAACGTTGAAAAAAATAGTGTTTTGATGTGTTTATATTGTTTTAACTTGTAATAATCAACTAATAAGTTGTTTAAACATTAAAAAATTGTTTAATTAAGGAAGTAACAAATAAAAATACATTTTTACACATTGTTACAGTATTTGAAATTTGAAATATGAATTTTTTTATGTATTATATTCTTACAAATTATATTATTAATATCTGGCTAATTAATTTTATTTCAATTGGTATGAAAACTGATCAAAAATGATATTTAACCACTAAATGTTATAAAGCATTTGACAAAAAATTTTAAAAACCACTTTTTATGCGTAAAGTACTGTTTGTTAATACAT